CCCCTCCACGAGCCGGGCGAAGTCTTCTCGGAGGGCACACCCTTAACCTCCCATCGCGCTTTCACGACTTCTCTCCTCCATGCCGTCCCGCGCCTCCTCTAGCTTCCAGCCTGGGCCCTGTTCTGCAGCTCACGCTCACCGTTCAGCTCACGCGTAACGGCTCCTCTTGCCACCAAGCCGCTCCCGCCGCTACCTCAACCACTAGAACTTTCTTCGACTTCCGCTTCCGGCTCGTTTCAAGAGCCGCCTCCTAAAACCCAAGTCGGGCACTTCTAGCCACTAAGAGCCATAGAGATGAGGCGCTCCCGTTCTCGACCACGCCCTTAGTGGGGGCTTCTTTCCGGTAGCTTCGCTGGAAGCCGGGCTACCTTCCGTGGTCTCACTGCTCGGGCGGCCCTTCCGGTCTCGGAGCAGAGGCCGCGGAGAAGAAAACTTTCTTTCCCCGCTGCCCGGCACCGGAACTCAAGGACTTAACCCTTGCCGACCTCGCGGTGGGAAGAGTTAGAGGTACGGACAAGGTGGGGGGAGAGTAGCCGGGAGGCTTCCGAGAACGCGCAGGAAGTGCAGTGCTCGGAAGGTTCCGAGTGAGACTGGCACTATCCTCTGCTTTCTCGGGCTGGTGGGACTCGGAAGGGAACCCAGGGCACCGAAGACCTGAGTTCAGGCCGGCGTCACCACCTTGCCTGCCGGCAAGTCCCTTTTTCATGCCTTCGTTGGCTTTTCTGCTAAGTGAGTCGTGGACGAGCCACTCTCAGCGTCCAACCTGGAGAACGGAGTCGCTTGGCTAGCGCCTGTAGGAGAGTCGAGGGCGGGAGAGTGAGTGTGGTTTCCTGGGATAGGGGAGAGAGGAGGGCAGGGGAGGGCAGTTAGGAGGGACACTTCAGCATGTCGAAGCCAGCAGTCTTGGTTGCTGGCTTGGCCCGTCGCGGTGGGCTCCTAGCTAGTCTGTGCGTGTAGTGTGTTGAGAGATTATACGTTGAGCTTCTGTGTTGTGGGGCTGGGCTAGACGTGGGATGTCCAAGCACGTGGAAGTGACAGTTTATCTCATATCTGTCGGTAGAATGATTTCCCTAAAACACGTGTATGGTTTTATAATTACACCAGTACTTAGGATAGCAGGAGTAATTTTGCGCGCTTGCACTGTTCTAAACACTGTGCCCAGTGGTTTACTTATGTTTTCATTTTAATAACAATGGTCTGAATTAGCTTTTTTTTCCCTTTATTGGGTGAGCCCTAATAAAGGTTGAACAGCTGGGAAGTAGCCAAGGTAGGATTTGAGTTCAGGCAGTTAGACTTCAGAGCCCATGTTCTTAACCAGGACCCTGTGTTGCTCCTCAGTAAAAGGCCCCTTCCCATCTTCATAACGGTCCTGGGCTCTGACCCTGCCGTCCAAGGAACTCAGGAGGAAGAGTTGATAGTCTCTGCGTCCCTCACACCCCAGGACGGAACCCAGCATGTCTCAGGCTACCAAGAGGAAGCACGTGGTGAAAGAGGTGCTGGGGGAGCACATGGTGCCCTCTGACCAGCAGCAGATTGTGAGGGTGAGTGGCATGGAGCACAGTTGGCTCTGTCCTCCATCCCCGTTGGGCCCCTGGGGCGCGGTTTGGGTGTGGTGCAGCTCAGAGGGTTTGATCTGATGATGAGATGGACCCTTGCTCCTGGACCAGGTACTCAGAACCCCAGGGAACAATCTGCATGAGGTGGAGACAGCCCAGGGGCAACGCTTCCTGGTGAGCATGCCGTCCAAGTACCGCAAGAACATCTGGATCAAGAGAGGTGAGAGAGGCAGTCCCCTAGGAGACAACCATTTCCTGGGGCCTCGGCCTTCCCCCTGCGCTGGGACTGACCTGGCCTTTCTTCTTCTCTCCCTACAGGGGACTTTCTCATTGTTGACCCCATTGAGGAGGGAGAGAAGGTGAAGGCTGAGATCTCCTTCGTGCTCTGCAAGGACCATGTGCGCTCTCTGCAGAAGGAGGGGCTTTGGTAGGGGGCTTCCCTGGATTGTTGGCTCCCTGGCTTCTGGGGGGACAGCTTTCCTAGTCTTGTAATTGCGGGAGGGAAGATCATGGCATCCCGGGCAGAGACAGCTGGAAACAGCACTTTTGCCAGGAGACTTACCTGTTCACTCTGATCCTGCCTTTTCTTTTGGCGCAGGCCTGAGGCCTTCTCTGAAGTGGCCGAGAAACACAACAGCAGGAACAGGTGAGGAACAAGTTTTTACATGGGTAAATGAATGATTTCTTTCATGAGGATCAGCACGAAGCTGGTTCCTATGAGGTGGAGGTTAAAGGTGTCCCAATATCCAGCTGTTCCAAACTGCTGTCCCACTCCGTCATCTCCAACAGTAAGCACTTACTTTCCTCTCGGTACTCTCCCTGCCGTCTTTAGGTTTCCTAATTCGCTGCAACATTTCACAGAACTTAAAACCTGTATAAAGGAAATCACTTACGTGGTTGTAGAGACTGGCAAGTCCCAAATCCATGGGTCAGGCATAGGCTTCTCCCAACCCACGTGGCTGTAGGGGCTGACAACCCAGAGCAGCAGTTCAGACCACAGGCTGTTGGCTCACAAGGCTGCAGAGGTTGATGAATCAAAGCAGACAGTAGGCCGCCAGCCCATGGGGTTGTAGAGGCCAGCGAATCCCAGAATCAGCAGGTCAGATGGCAGGCCTCTGGCTTGAGTCCCGAGAACCAGAGGTTAGTCGATCACAAACCAGATGCAGGATCCAGATGCAGAGAGAGAGAGAGTGAGCATCCACACGTACATCTTAGATGCAGGCCACACCCCAGGGAAGGTGGTAACTTGAATAAGGGTGGGAATTGAGTCACGCCCTCCTGCAAGGCTGCAACCAAAGACACGCCCCATGTCAGTCCTGCCTCATCAACATGTAGAGGTCAGGATCCATAACACATAAAATGGACGACAACCATACAGCATTGGCAATCACGGTCTAGCCAAGCTGACGCATAACCCCAACCATCAACAGTTTCGTATACCTTATTTGCATAGTTCCAGTCAGACGTGTGTGAGTCACAAAGACCATGACTAGAAAGGCCATAGTAAGTAATTCATTACACTGCAACAGGGAAGACAGAAAATAGGGGTCCGAGTGCTGGTGTGGAGCCTTCTTTGTTCTACACAGGGTTTCTGGTAAGAGCTCCTTAAGATGTGATACAGTGTGGGCGTGAGAATGGCGTGAGAGTTAGATCGACCAGGTTCAAATCCTGGTCTTGCCCCTTACAGCAGAGTGCCGTTAAGCAATTTACTTGATCTTTCAAGTCTCAGCTTACAATGGGAGCTGTGTGAGGATTAAAGGAGCTAGTGCTTTTCCAGTTGCTTAGTGACGTACGTAACGTGGGCCCAAGGGGCGTTAGTTGGCGGTGGTAGAATCATTATGCTTAACTAAAATCGCTAGTGCTAGCAAACTTGGGGTGAGAGTAGGAGTCGGGGGCAGTCATCAGCCTGTTTCCTTGGCCAGGTTTTCAACTGCTCTGACTCTGCCCTTCCTTTTCGTCTTTAAGGGGGTGTTGAATTTTGGCAGGCCTGTGGGGCGCTGACTGCTTGGCCAAATGATCTTTCTTTTCGTGGGGCCACTTGGTTGTAGATCTGGTTTTCCGGAAGGCACTGGCCTAACTGTCCCTCTTCCCCCAAGCAGACGGACTCAGCCTGAACTCCCAGCCGAGCCTCAGTCGTCAGGAGACGGGTCCAGCTCTGAAGACGATTCGGACCTCTTCGTGAACACCAACCGCAGGCAGGATCGGGAGAGCGAGGAGGAGAGTGAGGAGGAGGAGAGCGAGGAGGAGGCGGCGGCCTGAGACCCGGCGGCCCGCCTCTCCGCTTGCTCAGGGACTAGTCCCTGGCTCCCCTGGGCTCGGACATTCCCGGAGTACCCTGCAGCTCTTAACCCCCCTGGATGGGGACAGGCAGGGTCCCTCTCTGAACAGACTCTCCTGATCTCCAGGAGAATTAAACCCCTGGTGGGTGGTGACGTGTATCAGTGTCTGCGTGGCTCTCTGGGAGAGGAGGGACTTGTGAAGTAAGAGCTGTGTGCTCTCTGGTGGAGATCTTGTGGGCTGACGGCCGAATGGCCAGGACATGGGGCTTGGCTGGAATCTTCCCTCAGGTGGTTTGTGTTCTTTCTTTCTGCACCGTCGGGCACTTAGTGCCAGGCCTTATGTTGTGTTTCTTGCATGTGTTTGCTGATGGGGAGCAGCCCTGCCTCATGGCCTGCTTGCGGTTAATCCTGCTGGAAGCAGTCAGGATCACAGCCCTAGAACCCAGGGCCACCTGTCTCCAGGAAACACTCAGGACGAATCCCGTGATGCCTCAGGAGCCACGTTCCCCGCTTTTCGTGGTCCTCCGTTTGTTACCGCAGGAGTGCTCATCTCTGCTGCTGTGCGTGAGGCCCAGCCTCTCGCTCACCCTTGACCATTCCTCCAGAAGGTCTGCTGTGTGACCAGCAAACCGCCGTGCGCCCTTAGCTTGTTTAGGTCTTTCCATCTCCTGACTTTCTTTGAAGCCTGGTTATCCCCCGAGGACATCGGTCACCCCGTAACCTTCTAAACGGAGACTGCTTTTTCATCCTCGTGCCTCGGCCAGGAGGTGGGGTTGGTGGCTGCTTAGACCATCACTCCCCTACCCCCTCGCAAGCCACATCCTCCCCCCTCTCCTTCGAAGTTTTTAGCTCTGGCTGTACGCTCTGTCTCTCTCCATTGCTGGCATTGACCTGGTCACTGCTCAGTCACTGGAGAGTTCACCTCCTGGCTGAGAGTCTTCCACCCCCGACTTACATTGCTATATTCTACCTCCTGGAGATGGGCCAGTTCGACACTATGGCGTCCTAGTGTTGCTCTTGTCTTCTCATCTGTGTCTGCTGCCTACATACCAGGTCACTCCTCGGACCCCTGACATTGCTAGGAACTACCGCACCTTTTGAGTTTAAATACCTGTAAACTCACCACCTCTTGGTTTTCTCGCTTACTCAGCTACACTCTCTGCAGAAATTCTTTCCTCATCCTCCTGCAGACGAGCCCTCCTACATTCTCACATTAACTTGTCTTCACTTCCGTCATCCAGTGGAGACTCCGTGGCCCATGCCCTCTACTCCCGTCTCCCTCCACTGTATTCATCTGGTAAAACCCTCACCCGGGGTGAGCCTCTCATTCACCTTTGTGCCTGCACCCAAGCAGCTAAATATTACTAGAGAGAAAGTAACCAGCCTGGCCCACCAGTTCTACCTTAAATTCATAATTACACACCTCCGATGGGCACTCGGTACTGCCCAGCAGACATGCTCTCTGGGATTTCTCTTTCAAAATCTCCATCGTGTCCACCAATTTCCCTTTCCCCTGCTAGTTACCGACCACTGCTCATACTTCATTGAGAGAGAGCAGCCATGGAGGCAACACTTGCCTCCCCACCAACAGCTCTACAAATCCCTCGTGTATCTTCCTGTCTTTTTACTTCCCACTGCGATTCAGCGGGAAGTAAATCCTTCGGCGCTGTCTCTCTTCCTAAGGACTTGCATTTTGGTTTTCCTCTGCTGTACGTGTTTCATTAGCATCAAACGTGTTATCGAGTTTCTTGTCTAAGAAACAATCCAAAAAACCCATCACTGAGCCCTGTGTCGTCTCTAGCTGCCACTTCATTTATCTGAATTTCACTCACTCGTCTCATGTTTGCTTAGTATAGCTTTAAATGTATCCGTGTGTGTACACGTGTATGTGTGCGTATAGAGACAAAAATACATACGTATACAAAACCAGATGAGTTCAGGAGTGTGCGTGGGCGCGTGTGTACGTGTTTATCTTTAACTCATTCTAGTTTATTTTTTATGGGAGGTAGAGATCTAATTTTTTTCTAAGTGGGTACCCACTTGTCCCTATACTATTTATTGAATGAGTCTTTTTTTTCCTCACAGGATTGAATTACCTCTTTGAAAATAAACTTAAGTCCTGCATATACGTGGATCTCTTTTTGGATTTCTAATCTGTCCCATTGGTCTGTTTGGCTATCTTAGTTTTCTAGTGCTGCTATAACAAATACCACAAGTGGGTGGGTGTAACAAGTTTATTTTGTCACAGGAGGCTGAAAGTCTGAATTCAGGGTGCCGGGGCTAGAGGAAGGCTTTCTCTCTGTAGGCTTTAGAGGAAAGTCCTTGTCTCTTTTGAGCTTCTGTTTCTGGGCTGTCTTCATGTGGCTTGACATCTCTCTTCTGTCTCTGCTTCTCTCCCTTGCTTGTTCAATCTGTTTTATATCTCGAAAGAGATTAACTCAAGGTACACCCTACACTAATCCTGCCTCATTAACATAACAAAGACAGCCCGTTCCTAAATGGGATTATAACCACAGGCATAGCGGTTAGGATTCACAACACATATTTGCAGACATAATTCCACCCGTAACAGTGGCATGTCATGTTTCATAGCGTGGTCTGATATCTGATAGACGGGCCCCGACCCTGGCCCTGCCGTTCCTTGGCTGTTTGATATTTTCTCTTACGTGTGAACTTCAGAATGAACTTGTCAGCTTACATTTAAAAGTCCTGTTGAGATTCCACTGGCATGATTCTAAACCTCTGGGTTTGATTTGAGGAGAAGTAGTATCTTAACAGTTTTGACTCTGCCCACGCAGAAACGGATACATGTTCTTTGTAAGGTGTTATTTGTGTCCTATGGGTCTTACATGTTTCCAGCTAGGTTTGTTGTTGTGTGCCGTTGCGTCAATCCTGACTCACAGTCACCCTATAGGACAGAGTAGAACTGCTCCATAGGGTTTCCAAGGCTGTAATCAGTCTTATGGGTTAGGGTTAGTGGTTAAGAGCTTGGCTGCTAATCGAGAGGTCAGCAGTCTGAATGCACCAGCCACTCCTTGGAAACTCTATGAGGCAGTTCTGCTTTGTCCTGTAGGGTAGCTATGAGTTGGAATTGACTCTGGATTTTTTTTTTTTTTTCAGTCTTACGGAAGCAGATTGTCAGGTCTTTTCTCTCGTGGAGCTACTGATAGTTTGGAACCACCAACCTTTCGGTTAGCAGCCACTGTGCTGCCAGGGCTCCTTTAGTTAGGGTAGTCTGAGGAATTTTATAGTTATTTGTTGTTGAGAACAAAATCTTTTGAAATAGCATTCCTGCCTGTCGCTGGCATATAGGAAGGCTGTAGACCTTTGTGGCACTCACCTCGCTGAGCTAATTGAACTCTTAGGAGTTCTGACAGTTCTTCAGCTATGTCTCCTCGTTTTCCTAGATTGCGTCAAATCATACCCTACTAGTAGCGGTTTTATCTTGTCCTCCCCATTCTCCACTCATTCCTTTTCTTGGGAATCATGAGGCCAGGCCTCCCAGTACAATGTTAGATGGCACCCTTGACTGGCCCTCTCATGGTGGAAACGGTTTTCGTGTTTCCTCATGAAATCCAATTCTTGCTTAGGTGTCTGGCAGATAATCTTCATTAGGCTAAAGATGTTTGCTTCTCTTCCTACCTTACTGAAGGGTTTTTTTCCCCCCCTTTAATCAGCAGTATTGAATTTTGCCATCTGAGATAATCAAAAGATTTTTTGTTATTGTAGTAAATTACATTAATAGATTTCGGAATGTTGAACCATTTTTGCAGTCTGATATAAACCCTGCTGTGAAGAAAAAAACAGCTGGCCATCAAGTCAACTCTGACTCGTGGTGACCCCATGTGTGTCAGAATAGAACTGTGCTGCATAGGGTTTTCAGTGGCTGATTTTTCAGAAGTAGATAGCCAGGCCTTTCTTCAGAGATGCCTCTGGATACACTCAAACCTCTGACCTTGCAGTTGGCAGCTGATTGTGTTAACTATTTGTGCCATCCAGGGACTCAAGTGTTTTGATATGTGTATGTATGTGTATATATATCGTGTCTACCCACTGCCCCACCCCAGGATTTTTATACCTATTCTTGAGCCAATTTTTTTTGTTTTAAATAACCCTGTCCTATTTTGATATCAGCATTATGCTAGCTTTGTAGGGTAAGTTTGGAGATAATCTTTTTCTACAGGCGTTATTTATAACAGGAATTATTTGTTTTTTAAAATGTGGTAGAATGGCATCACATGCACGAAAAAAAATGTGGTAGTACTTGTTTATAAAAACGTCTGTGTCTCATGCCTTCTTTAAGGGATAGACTTTTGGCTCCTTTTTAATTTCTCCTGTGACATTTTACGTACTCAGGTTTCCAGCCTTCCTTGAGTCAGGTTTGGTCGTGTATATTTTTCTAGAATCATATAGTTCATATATGTTTTAACTTTTTTGGCAAAAAATGAAATGTGTGAAAGCTGGACAGTGAATAAAGAAGACCAAAGAAGAATTGATGCTTTTGAATTATGGTGTTGGTAAAGAATATTGAATATTCCGTGGACTGTCAAAAGAACAAATCTGTCTTGGAAGAAGTACAGCCAGTATGCTCCCTAGAAGGGAGGATGGAGAGATTTCGTCTTATGTACCATCTTAGTCATCTAGTGCTGCTGTAACAGAAATACCACAAATAGATGGCTTGAACAAAGAGAAATGTATTCTCTCACAGTTTAGTAGGCTACAAGTCCAAATTCAGGGCATCAGCTCCAGGGGAAGGCTTTCTCTTCTCTGTTGGCTCTGGAGGAAGGTCCTTGTCGTCAATCTTCCCTTGGTGGAGGAGCTTCTCAGGCACAGGGACCCTGGGTCCAAAGGACATGCTCTGCTCCTGGCGCTGCTTTCTTGATGGTATGAGGTCCCCGTGTCTCTCTGCTTGCTTCTCTCATATCTTAAAAGAGATTGGTTTAAGACACTATCTAATCTTGTAAATTTCACCAATATAACTGCTGTGAATCCATCTTATTATATCAGTGATAGAATTTACAGCACATAGGGAAGTCACATCAGATGACAAAATGGTAGACAATCATACGATACTGGGAATCATGACCTAGCGAAGTTGACAGATGTTTTTGGGGGACACAATTCAATCCATGACACATACTTTGGACATGTTATCAGGAGGGACCAGTCCCAGGAGAAGGACATCGTGATTGGTAAAGGGTCAGCGAAAAAGAACCGTCAGTGAGATGGACTGACACGGTGGCTGTATCAAAACAGCAATGATTGTGAGGATGGCGTAGGAGTGGGCGGTGTTTCGTTCTATTGTGTATAGGGTCGCCATGGGTCAGAACCAACTCAGCGGCACCTAACAACAACAGTGTTGAAGTTCTCAGGACTTTCTTAGTTAAAAGCAACAAAACCCAACTCAAACTAGCAGAAGCAAAGGGCTCATTGGCCTGAAGCCTAAGAGTAGAACCTTGGGCAGAGCAGATGCAGGGCTGGGATTCTTTCATCAGGGCTCTCTCCTCATGTGTCTCTCAGATTCTCTGCTCCTT